AAAAGTACTTATACCTTCTCTTACTATTTTGAATAATCTAATAATATGGCATTTAGTACAAGATTAATAAATAAAGAAAACCTTTGGAAATTTTTTAAAATCAAACAAAAAGAATTTTTTTAAACTCATAATTCGATTTAAACTTGACTTAAGTTCTAACTATTTGACGCAATTTTTCCAGTGCAGGTGAGTCCGATTTTGAGTTGAAGTTCTTGGTCTGGCCAACGCTAATTGTCCTTTGGCATTCCTCCTTTACATCATCATCGCCTTCCAAGCGTTCTGCACATTTTCACTAGTTGCATCCACAGCAACCACTTTTATAATTGGTGTTTTAGAGTCTTTTGTGTCTATATTTAGATTTCAACCTGAGCAAACGCCTTGATTACGTTGCTCAAATTACTGTAATTTGCGCTAAGTAGACACTGTGTTTGATTTCGTTGATAAGTTATGAACAACAGCGGTCCTTAAAGTTTTAAACTAGGTAAAGACCTATGAACCCAATCAAAAGTAAAAGTAAACATATCGCACACAACACACAGTGATTTAAATGCAAATTTCAATATGCATATTTGTATATTTTAAACGGGGCAAAGAAAGAGTTGGGCCAGAATAAAAAGTTATGAAGTCAAATCACCTGTTCCGACAAAAGAAATTACCATCAATGCGTCATAATATATGATGTTTATTAATTATGCCATGAAGAGGTTTCCCGCATATCACTGCTCTTACTCATTGGTTAGATCGAAAGCAATTTATGCAAAATATTAAAGGAGAACTTCGCCCCCAGCTCCCTATCATCGCCCGGTCAACAAGTTGGCTTCTTGGAAGCTGTCAGCTGGCGAATTGATTAACATCGAATGAGGAACTACGACAGCCCAACGAGCTCTCTCTAACTCTGATTTCAGAGTGCTTGAAACATAGCGAAAAATTTAGGGATCGATTTGAATATTGCCTAGTTAGGCAATTTGATAGAAATCTGGTTTTTATGGTAATCCTAACTATTGGTTTCTCTACCTTTTTAAAAGGCAACATAGCAAAAGAAAACAGACACCAGAACATTAAACTATATAAGCCGTAAACATCATTAACTGTGTTGTATATGTAAAAATGTGTTAAAAAAAAGCTAATCTAATATAATATTTAATTTAAATACCTTAACACGACCAATGGGTTAAATCTTACTGCATAGCTAACTTTTACTATAAAAACATCCTAAAATACTTTATTTTAATTATGAGCTTTATTACTCTCCTATGTCTATAAACGCTTTATTCCCTAAAAACCCCATTGTGTGGGTTTTAATTACAGCAGCAACCGGTTTGTACCGTTTCCAAAAAAAAAAAAAATAAATAAAAACAAAACAAAAACAAAAAATGCTCAAGTTCAGGCACCGAGGGCGCGAAATATTTTTGGCTAAATCAATCAGCAAACTGGTAGCGCGCGTTCAATTATATCTGCTAGAGTCGCTCCCCTAAAATTGCCACGGGCGTCAACCATGGCTGAACAACCGGCAAAATCCATTTTTCTCGGTCACTGGCACAGAATTTTGGACAGGGTGTGGGTACTACAAAACAACATACCACAAAAAATATATATTTTACAAAAAATAACAAAGGGAAAAAAACCAAAAAAAAAAAGAAAGAAAAGGGAAATAAAATAAACAAGAATACAATAAACAATTACAGCACCAATGAGCCAAAGAAACTGAGTGGCACGTCTGCGACAAGTTTATAAAAATTCAGATGTTGTCTGCGTTTGGGCGAGCTTCTTGCACTGGATTTACTTTTAATGGCCTGCCTTGACCGTATCCCCCTTTGGTTCCTTTTTTTTTGTTTATTTCCCCGCGAGACAATACCATGTATAGATTTCGCTTGGTTTTTTTTGTGTTTTTGGCCAATTAATTGGGAAAAGAACTTTCTATTAGCCGCCGCCGCCGACAACGTCATCATCTCGGCTCTCATCAGCATGCATTTAAGGCGTCAAGCGGTGAAAGTACTGATTTGGAGACAGGTCGAATTTTTGGCCTTTCCCATGTGTGTGGGCCCTTCAGAAATTCGCCTGTTCGAGTACTTAGTTCCCGATAAGAATACTTTTTTATTTTGCGTTTTTGCGCTGCTGTGAGTCTCAAGTGATTTCAGCGAAGTAAAACATTAAAATTTACTTAACTGTATCTAGAAGGTTGGCTGCCTTTTTGGTTCTTTTTATTTAATTATATTTGTATTTCGGAGATGACTGGCGGAGGAGAGATGTCGAAAGAAAGCCGCTTTTGATGCGTCATTGTCAGTTGTACGGCCTTTTGCGGACTAAGAAGTGTTCTCTTCTTAGAAATCGTTCGCTTATTTGTATTTTTTATTATACTTCATTCCCTGTTCTGTGCAGACATTTAAACAAGATATGTTTATAGGCTGTCCCAAATTGGGTTACAGCATTTTTGACGTTTTATTGCAAACTTTCTGATGACGCAAACGGGGTTGACAGACCTGAGATATCTGCGTTAATCAGAAAGTAAGCCCATAGAAGTGTTAAATGCCCAGAAGCTAATTAAGGCATTTTATTGTTTGAGAAACAAAAATTTCTTTATAGATATTATGCTATGACTATTAAAAACCTAAATTCTAAATTTATAATTGAATAACATGTAAAATTTTATATTACATTTTTGTGTGGGTAAGATTGCAAATTAAAAAAAAAACAGAAAAACATCCAATATCTTAACTTAAGAAATTTAATTAAAATTAAATTATAAACTTATATATTAGATTCCGTTGATTACACCTTGCACCAGAGCAGTATAAAGAAATCGTCAAAATATTTCACCACGAAAATTAGACTGAATCCTGCTAACTAATATTCATAAAAAATAATGTTCCAGCTCAGCTGGTTGGCAGACCTCGACTGTGGATTTTCAATTTTCAGCAGGCCAAATTGGAAAATCAGTGGCGGCAAACAAGGCGAAACCGAGCTCTTTACGCAGCCGAGGCGTGGAAATATTGAAAATGCTCGCATTATGATAATTTAATGCGTGTGATTATTGAAAATCATAATAATATTTTTATGGCTTTGCGGGGGGCTCAACAAGATGCGTTGCGATATGCTTTTGGGCAGTTCGGCCGGGGGAAAAGATGTTGCTGATGTCGTTGTCGCATTATTATTGTTATTACCAAGACACATTCTTTTTATCAGCACAACGAAAGTGCCAATAATTCGAGGCAATTTATTATTTTAGCATTTGTATATCAAACAAACGCACACTCCAAGTCTGGGCTATTTGCGAATGCAAATCACGTGCGCGCATAAACTGCCAGAAAAGCAAAAAAATAAAGGAAAACAAGTTCGAGTTGTCCGCCTGCTGGCGCCAACACCTGTGCTAGGCATCCTCCTGCAATACAGGTACGGAGATACCGAGATACTGAGATACAAAGATACTCAGCCTGAATCCGCCCAAATTTTCCTCACTGAACCTGACACCGATATTGAAATTTTGTTTTTTATTTTGCGGGGGAGCCACAAAAAAAAAACCAAATCTTGGCCGAATTTAAATTTTATGCGGAAGTGGTTCAGTGGAAAGAAACCCAAACCAATACAAGATATATATTCTGGCAAAAAAGCTTTCACCGTAGAGCGCCCGGAATTAATTTCACTCAGATAAATATAAGCATTTTTTTATCTTTCTGTTTACGACAAAAATCGACGAGAGGATTTCAATTTCTGTCAGAGAAGGAAAGAATCCCATCACGTTCATCTCTGATATGGCAAATGATTTTGTGGGCGGGCAGGTCTTAGAGTTTGAGAAAATGCCAATTGAAACATTTTTTCGGGAGGCGACGAAAGTGAGGAATTCCACGGGATTGCAGTTAATGAGTATTACTTAACGGATACAGATACATATGAACCGCATGCACTCTGACTTAATTAAAGGCCCGTGAATCACCTGTTGCTCTGCCAGATGCGCCGCTGACAAACAGTAAACAAATATTTTCCGGCATAAATCAACCAAAATGAGCGAACAAAACAAAAAACGCGCAAAGTGAGTAACGAACTAAAAACGAAAAACAAATAATAAACAGCTGTGGGCTCTCCTCGGGTGTTGGCCAATCGCAGAAGACAGGGCCAAAAAGCCCGCTTGACCAACAACAAGAAGCCGCGTACTTTGGGCCGCGTTTTTTGGTAGGAAATTCTGGTTTCTTTGTGCGACCGAAAGGGAGGGAGATAGAGCGCGGCTGGCAAAGGCAAAAATTCGCAAAGACAAAAAGCGGCTGCGAAGTCGGCGTCTTGAGAATCTGCCGCTTAACCCATTGAGGGCAGCGGTAATTAAAAGGGCTTACAAGTAAACAATGTAAAAAAATAAACTATCCGTTATATTCAATCAAATCAATTTAATAAGTTTCTGTTTGTCTAAAGTTTTAAAATGTGTATTAAGAATTAATATTTTCTTAACATCCGATCATCCAAAAAGTTGAATTAGATCAGAAACGAAGAAACACAATTTTCTTGTAATATTGTATACTGTTTTTCTACAGCTAAATTAAATCTTAAAAATGTATTTTAAGTATTGTTATTTTCCTAAGCACAACATTTTGTAAAGCCCCAGAAACGTACATGTTAACCATAAATGGTAAGGAATATCATCTAAAAAAACACATTTTGTAAATTAATTTAAAAACCATTGAAGAAAGAGTTTTTACCTAAGCTTCTTCGATTTCCATTCACAGATTCAAGAGCGATTTGTAGTGGGTTAAAATGAAGCGAACCGCTTACAATTTATGCCGCAAACGCGAACTGCGAGCTGCGACGTCGACGGCGAAACTTGGCTTTCATTACAGCAAAAAGATCGCGAATTCTGCCGGGCCCAGAATCTGGCAGAGCAGTCGCCAGCGGCAGTGGAACCTCATGATGAAGTTCATTAGCGACGGCGGCAGAAGAAATTCAGAACGAGGGTATAAAAGAACCCGGCCCCACTGACCATTGCAGCAAAAACTCTCCCGATTCGGTTACGCGTGCGCCGACTTAAGAAGCGCCCCTAAAAAAGTTATATCCTGGCGGCAGGATTAAGCGGGAAAGTGAAAAAGTGTGACACAGAAATTCCAGTGCCCACAAACAAAGTGCTAACGACAAATTTAAGCTCTCGAAAAAGGCAAGAATAATTCCATAAAAAAAGTGGTGAGTGTAGAAAAAAAAGATCCAAAATCCAAACTATTCCCCTAAAATATACGATAATCCATAATATCTCTGAGAGATATACAACAAACTTTTTTTTGTTAATCCGCTAATAAACTTGATTTAAACCTGAAATATACGTCAACCTTTAACAAAGTTATGAGCAATAAAGTACAAAAATATGCATAAATAAAATCAATTAAATAAATAAAATACAAAACAATAAATTGTAATTATTTGAACATTGTTTTGCAAGTTCAAGGGCCGGCAATTTTATTTCATTTGCTTGCCCACTCAAAACCTGAAAATAAACCAGACAAATTGGAGTTCTATGAACTCCAAGTGAGAACCTCTTTTTCGGCTGGCATTTATCTATTTTTATGTGGTCCAAACCTCCATCAAACCAAATGACCAACCATCTCGAAAAAGGACGGATGCGAAACCTCAGAAAATGGCAAACAATTGAGGGCAGCGCGGCTTTTAGGGTGAAATTTCAGCACACGCATTCAAAACTGAAGGTCGTTCAGCCATTTCCCCTGCAGCCGCCTTAAATGTAACAATGTAAAGTTTAATTGACACCATTGTTCGGGCAACACTTTTTGCTCCATTTAACAGCCCATAGATTGCCGCCGAACGCGTTGACAGCGAAAACTGAAAAAAATCGAGGGGCAAGCCGGGTAAAAATGTGGAAAAGATAACGAGCTTAGTGGAGGCGGGGAACCAATACTCCTCCCGTCTGAGCCATGTCAGTGAGCAAGTCCATCAGTCACTCAGTCCCGGTGCGACACTTCTAAATACACTACGAAAAATTAGATTTCAAATAAGTCAAAAATGTGATTAGGTTTACCCCAATCAGGCCCAAACAAACATTGTAGCGATTTATTCAGATATAAGTTGGTGTCTACAACCATCAAAGTATTTTCAGAGCATACTTGTTTATTAAAGAAATATTTTGTATCAAACTGCCGTTAAAAAAAATTAAGAAAATAAGTATTTGGTTTCCAATAAAATAAAGAAAAAGTATTAATACATATTTAAAGTGCTCAGTTGATTTATTAACTATAATCGTTTTGTTATAAGTCTTTAAATACAAAGTATGTCTATCATAATAAAATGTCCTTGGCGTCCAAACTGGAATTTAAGCTATAAAATGTATACTTATATTTGATTATAAAATGATAGAACTAAAAAATCAAGAGGTTGGCTCTACAGATATTTTTCTGCATTTCTTTTCGTGCATAAAAAGAATAAGAACAGTAGCAACCATCGTTGACCAGTCATCAATTCCAGGCACGTTGTTCAAATTATTATTATGCGCAAAGTCGCAAAAGGATCTCTCTACCCAGTTCCACTCGGAGTAGTTACTGCCTTTGGCCTGCCACTCGAGCAGACAATCAAGAAATTTAAATTTGATTCGTTGCGCAAACTGCCCAACATCAACAGCAACAGAAAATACTAGCCAGAGCGCACTCAAGTGTCAAATGTAAGGAAAGATAAAGAGAAAAAAAAGAGAAAAGCTCACACACTTGCATTACATTTCAATCGAAGGACGTTTTCCCTCTGCATTTCAACTTGACTTCTAGTCCGTGCTTTTTGCTTTCGGCCTTTAATGTCCACTTTGTCAATTTGCTTGGCATTCTGCTTTAGTTTTGCATAGATTATCATAAATTAAATTGTTTGTCGTTTGACATCACTGACAACCGGGCGATTTATGTGTGGGCGTGGTCGTGGTCAAAACCCGACGATTCAATTCATCTAAGTCAAGTCCAAATAGATTAAATTATTTAAATAATTAATTATTAATATATGAACCGAAAAACTACGTCAGTTTAACCCTCGAACCAGACTATAATCACACTTTCTAAAGCTTTTGGTTTGGTCCAAACATCTGCAAAGATTTGAATCTCAGTGAGGAGACCCAAAAATGCTGAGAAAATTTGTTAATTTAAATTCCATACATTAGCCCGGCGACAAATATACATATTAATAATATTTGCGAACGGCAAACCGAGGAGGAATCCGAAAAAAGAGCGTAAGAAAAGTGAAATGATATCGTTTGCCGGTCATTATGCATTCCGATGGCTATCTGCCCAGTTCACTTGCTCAGTGAAATTATGCTAATTTTATGTGTCAATTATCTGCCAATAAGCACGATGGGGGCTGAGATACTTTTTGGGTTACTCGGCCAAATGGGGACGAACCCTGAAGTGGCCGCTGCTCATGTGTAAACATGATTTGTGCCAGTCAAGAGGTCAGGTTCTTTTATTTTTCTGGGTCTCTGGCCCAACGAATTTGCATATTTTGTTTGCTTTATGCAAATGAACAGGAGTCTCCTCAACAAAATTTTAAACCAGAAACTTACAATAGGAGCCAGGCAATTAAATAAGACGATAAAATGCATTGTGTGATTTTTAAGACATTGACCGAGTTCGAACGGGGTGATATCATAGCTGGAGATACATTTAGCTATGGAACGGAATATTTGCCCAAAGTGTCGAATTTCGCACATTGTTTATTTGCCGCCAACGTAAGACTTTCTCTGCCCCAAGGCAAAAACATAATTTGACTGGCTCATGATGCAATTTCAATTAGAATCAAACGAAGCGTACGAGAAGGCAAATAAACAAATAACAAAAAAAATAACATACCAGCATAAAAGTAAGCAAAGCAAATTGCTCAACACAAACGTAAAACCAGTAAGACAAACAGACAAAACGCTCGAATTAAGCAACAATTCAACTTCAACTTGAAATCCAAAAGCGAAGCACGCGATTCCCTCAATGATATAATCGATTAGATGAAGCCATTATCATCAAACACACACGCCAACAGGTGTACACTGAAAAAAAAGTTAGGTTCTAAATTATAACTTCTTAATATAATTAGACAATTTATGAAATTTTTTAAAAATAAAATTTGTAAAAACAGTTTGAACCATCGTATTGTTTGTGGGGGCAAGCAATCAAACATATTTTTATACAGCAACATGGAGTAAATTCGTCCTATTATATAACAAATTATTATAGAAAAAAAAATATATTTATGTAAAAAAACAATATTACGTTTCTTAAATAGTTTGCAGAAGGCAAGCCCCTACGTCATCTTTTCAGATAATTTTTTGTAAAGTGCATATCGCATTGTGGTTTCATTGAATTTAAGATATTCTAGCATTGAAACATTTAACTTAAGGCAATTATGGCTTGAGCGAACTTAAATTAGCCAATGATATTCTATTTTCTTCTGTGCACAAATGTATCTCTTAAACCGGTATGTGTGTAAGCACTTTGTTAATGGGCGAAAGTCAAGAGATCGTTCGGCGAAGATTGAAAGAAACTTCTGGTCATGTAATTCTCAGACCATTTCTTCCCCCATGAATCAGCATTTCCAGTAACCAGGAGAAATCAAAATAAAAGACAATCGGTATAAAAAGTGTTACACTTAAATCTGCTTTGTGGCTTCAAGAGCTTCGAGTGCTGAGTAGACAAGCCACTATGCCGGGCTATTTACAGAGCAACAGCTTCGGGGCCCAAGAACTTATGCAACCAGCGACGGGCAAATCTGCCAGGCAAATTACCATAAAATTTACATAAAAGCTTCCGTGTAAAATTTATTTAAAACAAATAAAAAGTTACAACGGCAAAAAGGTAAACAAAATGCACAAAATCCTGTGGACACTACATCTTCGGCTAGGCGGAAGCCCACAGAGGTTGTCTTGTCGGCCAGGGCCATAAACATAAACATAAACTGCCGGCCCGTCCAGCAGTAGACAACAATTGGCAACAGGTGTAGGCCAGGCCAAGACAAACCTTCGGCCAGGTCTTGGCCTTAGTCGCAGTTTTGCCCATGTTCTTGAGCCCTTATCTTGTACAGTCGAACTTGGCTAATACGAATAAAAAAGTTGTAGTTTACTGGGCATTACTTACAATAAAGCTTTTTAATTTTATAATTCCTCTTTATCATGGAAAACTAAAGATACATAGGTGTTCTAATTCATAAACCCACATTTAGTTCACCATAAGGGCGGGGAAAAGAGGTTCAAAAGTTAAAAAGTCATAAAAAAAAGAATACTTTTGTTAATTCAATTGCAGAATTTGATTTAAAATATTTAAAATATATATTATTACTTTTAAGTATGGTTCTGAACTCGCTTTAAGGAATCTCTACTGTAACAGAACCGATTTGACAGCACAAAGGACCTAACTGAAGGGAGGGACAAGTGTGAAGCCATGAACGGGACACGTGGCCCCCTATTCGAAAACGGGTCTTAACTTGGCTTTGACAATTTGGGTTGCCCCCGGAGAAGTCGGAAACGGTTCTGGGTCCCCATTTCCAGGTTGTCCAGGCTATCCCATATACCCATCCCATATTCCAACCCATCCTGTTTGTTGCGTTCCTTGTGTCCAAGAGTTGTTGCTCAAGCCGTTGGCTTTTGTCTGTCAATTTCTGTGTTATTGTGGGGCGCTGGTGAGGTGAGGTTACTACGTGCAGGGTCCCCTTTTCCAAATGCCTCTCAAGGCTTGTCATTGTGCAAATTTACAGTTTTCCGCCAGTGGTCGAGTGGCTCCGCTCGGGGGAAATCTACGAAATTGTGTGGCATCAAATGCGACACTAAAAAGACAAACACGTTTTCTATTGAGCCGAGAAATTCCCGGTGGAGTCGGACTCAAAATTAGCCGAATGAAAAGGTTCAAAGCTGGCTAAAATGGGCTCCCTATCTTGAATTGGTCAGAGGCTACCGTTGGCCATGTGTGGCCGAAATAAAGCGAGGAGGAAATTAAGTAATTATGCACTTGACTGGTCGTTTTTACAACTGCCCAGGAGGCAATGTGCCGGCGTGCCAGGCATTCCATTTTTGCTGGCCTAGTACACTGACAAAAAATTAAGTTTTAAGTCATGAAAGTGCTCTTAGATTAGCTAACAACTGTGCAAAAGTATGCAAGCCAACGGGTAAAATCATTTTGAAAATACTGCATTCATAATATCTTATCAAATCTATCGGTTTT